TCTCTGCTTCTGTAGTCTTCAGAAGAAATTATTTTGGTGACTTCCCTTCCTGAGGCTTGTTTCCTGCCTTTGCAGGTAATGGGAGTGCCTTGGTGAGGCTCCTTCAGGAAGAAAACTTCAGGCTTGAGCTGATAAGCTCTTACAGCGAGGAAGAGCTGCAGAGCTTTCTGACACAGTGTGGCATCCCCTGGGAGGCTTCAGATACAAAGGTAATGGCTTGTTTGCCCACATACAAGCCTGCAGGAGTGGAGCTGTTCTTCACTGTCTTTCTCTCATTCACACTTGCCATCCTGGATAATTAACTTCTCATCTGACTGCACTAAGGGCAGGGGTGGGTTAGAAGTGAGTGCCTGCAGATTATAGCATAACTTACACATGGTGAAATGAATTGAACCTTTGTGGGCTAGAAGAAAGGAAGCCTGTAATTACCTTGTCACAGGCTCAGTGTCGTGTAATTGCTTGTCATCCTCACGGTGCTGAGTGTGGGATTAGGAAGTTATTGGATGAAGTGCAAATTAGGATTTGGGAGACCTTGCCTGCAGCCTTCTCCCTCTCCGGAGGAGTCCATTAATTTTAGCCACATACAGACTTTCTCTGGGACCTGTCTTTTCTAGGACCAGCTCTGCTACTCCCTCCTGGCTCTCTATGAGTTTGTACAGAATGGGACAAGCATCACACAAGCCTCTGCTCATCACACAGGAGGGAAAATCTACAAAGTGTGTCCACATCAGGTAAGGAAGGCTGGAGTCAGCAATGTTTTTTCTTACCTTGCTATTCACTATTATCTGCCTTACCAGTGTGGAACCCCCTCATTAAATAGAAGCAATGAAGTGGGCCTCTCTGAGCCTTGGGAATGAAACACGCTGCCTCGGGGGCTTGGAGTATGAGCAGTCCTGCAGGAGATTTCAAGATCAACTAGTGATCTGAAGCCTGGTTTTGATGTTGCTGCTGAGGTGGAGTTGAAAATCACCTCTTCCTGAACAAGATAGAGTGAATGTGTATGAGGAGGAAACAGAATATCTTTAGAGAAAGTAACTGTCTGGTTACTGTATTGTCTGGAATACCTGAAAGAAAGCTTAATTTTTTTAAGACTATATATTTTTTTTGGAAGTTTTCAGATTTCAAGATCAACTAGTGATCTGAAGCCTGGTTTTGATGTTGCTGCTGAGGTGGAGTTGAAAATCACCTCTTCCTGAACAAGATAGAGTGAATGTGTATGAGGAGGAAACAGAATATCTTTAGAGAAAGTAACTGTCTGGTTACTGTATTGTCTGGAATACCTGAAAGAAAGCTTAATTTTTTTAAGACTATATATTTTTTTTGGAAGTTTTCAGTTTTATTGTGCTGTTTGGTATTAATCCTTTTCTTTCCAGGTTGTGTGTGGCTCAAAGTACGTAGTAAGAGGAGAAAATGCCCGGGATCATGTGGACTTGTTGGTTTCCTCACGTCACTGGCCTCCAGTGTATGTTGTTGATACAGCCTCTTCAGTGGCACTGTGCGCAGACATCTGCTGTCCTGGCCTGACTTCCCAGATGTGGGGGAAAAACCAGGGCTGCTTCTCTGACCCCATGGATCCTCCAACGGTTAGTTATGTCCACCTTTGCACTCTGCTATGCCAGTCCAATATGGAAAAGTTTCAAGTGAGATTTAAAATAATAATAAAAAAAAAAAAGTAACAAAAGTGTGTGTAACCTGCAAAGTTTCAAGTGAGATTTAAAATAATAATTAAAAAAAAATTTAACAAAAATATGTGTAACCTGTATTGTGCCTCAAGATAATTTGACCTGATAAGTGTCTCCTGACTCACAGCTTTGCCAGTGCATAGCTTCTGAGCGTAGCGGAAGGTGTTATGTGTTGCTTGGGGCATTGTATTAGGTTCGTGCTCCTTAACAGGAAGAGCTGTGCTGGAAGTGCATTGTAACAGTTCAAATCGTGAACTTTGGAGCATGTTGCTTATTTTGACACAGCAACTCGCTTCTCGCAAACTACTGCTATTACTTGAGAAATGGAAGAGGAAGAGGGTTGCTAGTGCCTTGGGATTATCTCTGAGGGCGTACGAGTGCAGAGGGAGCGCACAGAACCACCTTTGTGGCATTTAGGGGAAGCCTGAAATCAGTTAGCCCTCCCTCTGTCCTGGGTCGTAATGCTGGTTGGAGTTCGGCCAAACAGTAGTTTTGTCTTGTTCTTCTTAGCTGTGGGGAAGTTGCTTCTTGTTCTACCTGGTGCATCTCTCCCTCTCTCCCAGTATGTGTCCTGCCCTGAACTGCTAGACCAGCACTACAGCGTAGACATGACCGTGGCTGAGCACTCTGTTCAGCACCCAATCACCAAGTCGTCGGCACGCCGAATCGTTCACACGGGTTCGGAGCAGAACAACCACCAAGATCCAACGGCTCGGCATCACTGCATCTCCCTGTGCCGAGAGCTGGAGCCTTACAGCGCCATCATCGCTGCTATCAACGACAGCAAAACTAGCAACATCCGCCAAAGGTCCATCACCTTCGAGAACGCCACGCACTATTACCTCTACAACCGCCTCATGGACTTTCTCACCAGCAGGGAAATTGTGAATCGGCAGATCCAGGAGATCGTACAGAGCTGCCAGCCTGGGGAGGTGGTAATTCGCGATGCTCTCTACCGGCTCGGGGTGGCCCAGATTAAAACAGAAACAGAAGAGGATGAAGAGGGGAAGCAGGAGGATGATAGAGGTTGCTGAGTAACAAAACAGCGTGTTGGTTTCTCTCTCTGGTCGTGTGGATGGGTGGGCTGAGCCAGTTTCTGCAAGGCTTGGGCAGCTGTCTGGCTTGAGAGTTTATTTTTACAGGTTGGAGATGTGATGCCGGTGGCTTTGACTGCTGTTAATGACCAAAGAGCTGTGTGCTTCCATAGTGTCATGATAGCTGCTGTGAGCATGGGTCTGTCACCCCCCTTGCTGAAGGCTGCAGCTGCCTCCCGAGGTGTGCGATGGACCCGCTGTTCAGTGGTGTGAAATGTTGCCCTCCCTGCAGCTGGCGAGTGGAGAAGGGAGAGGCATTTCTGGTAGTGGGGAGTATGCATGGTCAAGCGCACAGGTGTTTTAATTCTGAATCTTGCTTGCTGACTTCTTTGTGCGTATTGGTTGCAGGGCTGGGGGTGAGGGAGCAGGCATGAAAGGCAGACAGCTAAGATGATTTCCCCCAAAACGTTCTGAATAGATTAGTTTAGGACACTGATGCCTGCTTGGAAATCTTGCAGAGCTCTCATATGCATTGGTTGCAAGGAGTCTTTAGTCGAGGAGGCGGAGGAGCCATGTAGCTTTAACGCGCCGTATCTGGGGAGCCTCCCTGGAGGCTGCGCTCCTGGGTCCAGGATTGTGAGTGCTTCGGCTGCAGAAAGTTTCTAGAATTGTTTGTCCCTTCGCATGAGCACTAATAATTTAGAAGCTGAAACATACAGTGAGTGAAAAGCGTTCTGTATGTTAAGGTAAGAATTGACCGGGTAAGCCCCAGGGGAACCAAGCTCGTTGGAGGGCTGTATGAGCGCTGTGTAAGGTGGTGACTGTGGAAAGGAGAAGGACACTCAAAATTTCTGTGTTGTCCCTTGGACACTTTTTTTTTTGCAGTTTTATTCTGTTCAAGGACTTGCATTTCTGTTGTCCTGCCCTTAGAACAGAATCACAAAGACTGTCTGTGGGATCAAGGAGAAACGATGAATGTGGTGTCACCGGAGCAAGCAGGGTTTGGTATTCCACCCTCAGAGGAGGCGCTGGGAGAGCTGCATCCACGTGTGCAATCTCAGCGCTCTGTCAGGTGTCGTATTTGCCCTGCCCGTGTCCGCACAGCGCTGTGTGGGTTAGAGGAGCCTCATGCTGCCCAGGGTGCTTTATCAGCTCCTTGAGAGGAGTTGGGCTGAGACCTCTCTGTCCCTACAGCGCGTCCGAGGAACACCTTGGGCTGCGGTTGTAAAGCTATGCGTGTCGCCTGCTGCCAGCTCCCTTTGCTATTGCTGGTGATGAAAGTGAAGGTGGATGGGTGTTTGCTGCGAGCCGCAGAGGAGAGAAGCGGGATGCTAGACTGCTAAGTGGCCATCCAGGGAGTTTATTTTGTCTGAGCGAGCAGCGGGGAAGATTCAGAGGCTTGCGGTGTGGTTGAAAACTCCCTTCTGTGAAGGGGAACCTATTGAGTACCGTACTGTTAAAGTAAATGTATTAAGTCTGAGCAAATGCAGTAATGATGGCTTGGGGTTTTTCTGTTAAGAACATTAACTTATTATAAGAGACATTAGTGACTTTTTTCAGTCAGTGATAAAGTTTAATAAATTATCTCCAATTTTTGGGGTGAAACTGTGGCCAAGTGACTTGTTTTTTTGTGTACAAGACCTGGAGGACTGCGGTGGGAAAGGGCACAAACACTGTGTGCACGTACACCATGCTTCCAGTCTGCACGGCCGTGGTGGTGGGGAAAAGCCTGGTATTCTCAGAAGCAAGGTGTTCTGAGAGGAGCACCTGAAGAAATTGCTTGGGCCACCTCACCAGAGTGTCGAAGAAAATTATCCCGCTAAATATAGCTAAGGTATGGTTCTTATAAGTGGCAAGAAAGTAGCTTCTGCAGATAGTCGATTCCCCTGGTCTACCTGCTCTTGTTCTGCAGTTCCCTGCACAGGGCAGCTCCTGAGGTGACTTTCATAGGAGAGAGTCTGCAGCAGGTGACAGTGACTTCTCTTCAGGATGTGTTTAATAGCCTGGGCTGGAGCTCCTGCTGCATCTAAGCCACTGCTACAGGAGGTTCTGCTGCAGTAAGGTTGAGTCGCTGGTCACCAGGGCCCTTCTGCCTCTGCCCTGCCCTCAGCGTTGCACTGCCTTTGCCACACAGGCTGCTGCCACGTGCCTGTCTCAAACACTGACTGTTGTCAGACGTCCCATCATCTCAACTGAAATTACTCCCCCGTTATACCCATGCACAGGGACTACTTCATTTTTCACAACCACAGACAAGCCAGTCAGAGCAAAGTGCTTTAAAACCTTGCTTTTAATAAGTTTTTGCATTACACAAGAGTGAATGGTTTTGAGAACTGGTAATGAGAAGTGTGTCAGGAATTGGAGCAGAGTTGCAGGGTGTGAGAGGATGGTTCCAGTGCATCACCCGTGCTCTGATCCATTCACCTCTGAGAACAGTCCTTAAAGCCCTGGAAGAGACTTGTTTTGTTAAACATCTTATTTTATTCTTTGTAATGCTGACAGATAGAAATACATAAGCTTTTTATTTAGTAAGGAGGAATGAATCACTTGGTGTTAGCATAAAACCAGGTTTAATATAATCAGAAGTGGCCATGACATAATTGCTCGCAGTATGACAAAGGCCACCTGCCATACAGTCGTTCTGTCTCGCTGTAGTTTGCCTGAGCCCTGTCAGTGCTTGTATCTGGAATACTGATCCTTTACCCACCGAGTCAGGTGAAGCTAAGAAGGTTCTTTAGCTACTTCTGGTGGCTACACAGGACCAGGTGGCTGTGGCATTTTTACACTGAACAAGAGCTAGATGAGAAATAAGTTTAAGGGCATTAGGCCCTAGCTTATGAAAAAAAATTACCTCAGCTGTACTATTCAAAATACACTCAGGAAAATATGTACAAGAGCATAATTGTGACAAAGGCAGTGATTGCTACATGTTTAACAATTCAGAGGTTTTGTAGGATATGTGTTATGCTGATCATTTCCAGATGTGTTTAAGCTGCCGTTCTTTCCTGGATTGGGATTGTGTTCGGTGCTCATGTGGAAGAGCACTGGTTACTTCTGTATTTTACCTGAGAAATAACCGCCCCTCTGTCCTGTTACTGGGGCACAAGTTCACATAACCCTGGGGTTGTCTCCCAAACGCTCCCTGCAGAAGCACCAGCTGCAGAGAGGTAGATTGCATGAGGAAATGTAGAGGTTAATGCATATTTAATGCTAAGTAGAGGCTTTACCTATATCTAAACACTCACTCTGCAACATCCAGGGTCAGACTGACAAAGGGAAGAGAGCAGGACCACCAAGAAAGAGGGCTGCTTCTGGTGTATGGAGCAGTTCCAGCTTCGGGACTTAGTTCAAGATGTGCTCATAAAACACAAGGGTTCACTCACGTGAGTGACTTTTGGAAGTGTCTTACTTGGCTGCAACTTGTATTTTAAAACAAACTACAAAAAAACAAACACCCCACAGCCTCCTCCGGGGGGTGGGGAGGCGGGTGACAGGGACCGCTCTGTACCTTGTAGAGATGGAGCGTGTTATCATCCTAACAACTCTGTGCTACACTTGAGATAAGACCTTAGGGACCCCATGGTGAGTCTTGGTTTTGAGTCGCTCCAGCGCTATCCTTTCAGTGAGGGAGTCAGTAACACTCATACTTCAGAAAGCACGGAGAGGAGAGCCAAAGCAGAAGGAATCTGTGTCCTAGGGCAGAGCAGAACCGTGCGCTCTGCAGAGCTGGGAGGACAGGGATCTACCCCGGGGGCGATGGTACCAGCTAACAGAACTGATAGTTGTTGCTCTTGAGGAGGGGCTGGCCGCTCTCCTCTTGCTCGCAGGACTCCTCACAGCAGCCAGAGGTATCACAGCCACTGTCTTCCTCAGCAGTGGAGGGGAGGTTGGTGTAGTCCTTGAAAGCAAAAAACCCCACCCACCCCAAGTGTGTTTCAGTCCCTTCAATGGCAGGGGGGTTGGACTAGATGACCTTTAAGGGTCCCTT